TGAAGCAATTAATGGGATTTTTGACTGTTTTAATCACCATTGTAGAGGATTCCTCACTATGAATAGTCTCATCAGATCGGCCTGTGCTTAGAGCATTGATATGTTGCCTCGACAGCGCGTCAGCGACTACATTCTCCTTTCCTGGTTTATAATGAAACCTAGGGGAGAATTCTTCTACAAATGATCTCCAACGTTTTAATTTCGAGTTCGGGTTCTTATCTGAAATTGAAAAGGTCAAGGGTTGGTGGTCAGTAAAAATGTTGAGGTCCCTTGCACCGTAAAGGTAGTTTCTGAGCTTTTGTAAAGCCCAAACAATGGCGAGTAATTCTCGCTCATTAGTATCGTAATTCTCCTGNGGGTTCTTATCTGAAATTGAAAAGGTCAAGGGTTGGTGGTCAGTAAAAATATTGAGGTCCCTTGCACCGTAACGGTAGTTTCTGAGCTTTTGTAAAGCCCAAACAATGGCGAGTAATTCTCGCTCATTAGTAGCGTAATTCTCCTCGGTTTTTGTCAGTGTACGGGAAATCATAGTAATGGGTCGGCCTCCTTGAGATAGAACTGCTCCTAGGGCATGAGAGGAGGCGTCCGTTGTTAAATCAAAAGGTTTTTGATAATCGGGGTAAAGGAGAAGCACATCCTCGGATGACAAAATGTCTTTTATTTTCTTGAAAGCACTGTAAGCTTCTTCATCGAATTCAATATTGGTTTTTTTTTGAAAGTGTGGGGCTCACTGTTCTGTTTTCTCCTCGTAAGTATTTGGTTAGCGGTTTTGCTATTGATGCGTAATCCTTAATGAAACGCCTATAGTAACCTGATAACCCGAGGAAAGATCGCAACGCGCGAAGTGTCTGCGGAACCTCATAATTTACAATGTCCTGAACCTTGTCTTTTGACGTTTTAATGCCGCTTTGGGAAACTACGAATCCGAGAAATTCTACCTCGGTTTTAAAGAATTGGGTCTTCTCTAATGAAACCCTCATATTTGCTAAATATAATTTCTGAAAGACGCGGCTGACGTCGTGGAAGTGAGTTTCATAATCCTGGGAAAATACGATTATGTCATCAATGTAGACGTGACATGTTTTCCCTATTTCTTCCCTCAGTACATCATCGATGGCACGCTGGAAAACACTAGGGGCATTTTTCAGCCAAAACGGCAGTCTACAAAACTCGTACTTTCCGTTGTTTATGGAAAATGCTGTTTTCTCCCTGTCTGTTTCAGCTAATTTTATCTGGTGGAAACCAGATTTAAGGTCTATTGTTGTGAAAATTGAGGATTTACCCAAATTTGCTAATATAACGGAAGTGTCAGGGATAGGGTATCTATCATTGATAGTCTTTTCGTTGAGTTTTTTAAAGTCTATGACCATTCGCATTTTCTTTTCACCAGATTCGGATAATCCTTTTTTAGGGACTACCCATATAGGGCTATTGTATGGAGACCTGGAAGGTCTGATAATGCCATTTCGTAAAAGGTTATCAATTTCTTTATTTACGAATTCGGACGCTGCCATTGGGTAGGGATATGATTTCGAATACACTGCTTCATTGTCTGTTGTTCTAATGGTTGCCACAATATTCGTATTGTAAGGAAGGGATTCCTCGGGGTTAGAGAAAACTGCAGCATACTTACTTTTCAGCTCGTCAGTGTATGGTTTCAGTATAAANAGGGATTCCTCGGGGTTAGAGAAAACTGCAGCATACTTACTTTTCAGTTCGTCAATGTATGGTTTCAGTATAATATTGTTAACATCCTTACAGTGGAGATGTTGTAAATTTTCTGAACCAGTTTTGTATGAAAGGACGCCTTTCTTAACGTCAAGGTTAGCACCGATTTTGCGTAAAAGGTCATAACCGATTATACCGTCGAATGTTTCAAGTGTGGATAGGAGGAAAAACTCAGAATTGGTGTTAAAAATATTAATAGTGTACTTCCGCGTAACGCGATTGGTGCCATGAATAGATTTCACTAAGAAGGGAGATGTTAACGCTTTTACACCCTGCCAATCACAATCTCTTACATAGTTTTTAGAGGCACCAGTGTCGATTAAAAATTTTACTGGTTTTCCTTTGAACTTCCTGCTAACGTATGGTAGCAGGGACGTTACTCTAAAAAATTTATTTCATCGCTTGGTACCTCCGGTACCACGTCATCACGATTGTAAGCTCCCTCGTCTGACACCTTTTCGTCATAAGCATCAGAATCTGTGTAGGCTCCTTCAACGTCATCATTCGCGCACTGGTTTAGGGTATTGATTCGTTGTAACTTATTGTAATTAAATTGGTCGCTACCGTGTGGTCTCTTTGCATTCGTGGCAGTGGCACTGGTTGGGAGCGGATTCCCAAATGGAGTCCTGCCTGAAGGGTAGGTCGGGCGATTACGAGAGAAGGGCAATGCTTGTTGGGTAGGATGCCTGAGCTTAGAAAGGCTGGGATCAATCTCCATAGGAGTAACTTTTTGTTGAGCCTGATCACTTGTTAATCTGCTAAAATGAGGGCTATTGGGAGTAGGATAGGACCTGATATTTGTTGGTCTGTTCACACGATTATCTGAATTTTTACTATCAGCAAATTTTGAGGCGAATATGGATCGAGCCTGATTTGACTCCAATTCCTGTGCTAGAGCTAGCGCTGTTGGCATGTCTTTCGGTCTAGATGAAAACAAGATATCACATAATGGTCTGTTAAGACCGGATATGAAAACCCTGAGAGCGTCTTGACGATATTTAACCATCAATGAATCTATCACCTGTCGCTGGCTTCCATAAGTCATAAGAGTTTTGTTGGTTATGGCGGTCAATTTCTTTTCGACTTCGTCATAGAAGTCATTGATTGTCAGGCTTCCCTGACGGAGCGTGGACATTTCCTGCTCAATAACGTGAATAGGTTTTTTATCCGCGTAAGAAAAGTCAAGTCGGGCTATAATAGCCTTAAAATTCAGAACAGTGTTAAACGAAGAGAGCACAGAATCAGCTCGCCCGGTAACTTTGTTACGAATAATTGCCACGGCCTGGTAGTGTTTGCAACTCCCAGGATAGCATTCGAAAATTTTTTAAGCGGCATGAGCCGCCTGACGCCACGATACGTATCTATTCTGGTCACCAGAAAATTCTGGCAATGACTTGACTACATCTAATGAAACGTTGCATTCAATATTGGAATCAAATGCAATTTCTTGGTACTCTTCCACTTTCGTCGGTGTCTCTATCCTTGAAAGTCTCTCCGTCATTTCGTCGATCACAGTCTGAAAATCTTTTTTAGTCTGTTCAGTAGCCACTCTTACGGCGGCACTGACCACTGCACGAAGTTGCATTTCATCCATATTTAAGTTTACAATTTATTACTTATATTTCTCAATTTAATTAACAAATACAGCGAGCCTTCGTGCTTAGCTAGTTGGCTTCACAGACGATAAAGTTTTTAATAAAATTCTAAATTCTTTAATTTGCAATTACAATCACTTTCCTATTAAAATTCACTTGCTTAATTTGTTTGGAGGTCGGGCACTTTACTTACAAGCATTTTCTTATTCAATCTACGGTGTTCCCAGTTAATTGTCAGTTAGCTGCTGCTGGTCCCTTGGCCGAGAAAGTTTGGCTGCTCCAGATGTCCGATCCTCTCGTCTTCAATAAAGTTTGGAATTGTTGGTGGGTCCGAACCCACAACCACGTCACGATTTGTCCTTTAACAAGGATATTTTAAAACCGCGCGTGGCCCACCGATGGGCGCCAGTTATACTTTTCGGGTTCCGAATAAATAATAACACTACCTACTATGTAGGTTTGATATCTATTTTGATCGTAACTTTATTTGCTCCGCATATGCGGTAGTAACGAGCTAAGAGCCTGGCAAAAGACTGAATATT